AAAAATTGTAAAAAATAAATAAAAACTTCCAAAAAATATATAAAATTTGAAAAAAAATCGAAAACTAAAAAATGATTCAGTTGGTTGGAACCCCACCTAGCTAGGTGTGATTCCGCCAGTCACACCTGGCTGTGATTCCGACTGATCGCACCACGGTTAGTGCAATTTGCGCTGCAATCAACTAAGCTAGGTGCAATGTGCTTGAATTGCACCAACCCAGGTGCGATTCCGACAAAATTGAGTGTGATTCCAACCAAATTGCACCTAGCTTGGTGCCAAACTGTAAAGGGTATTATAATCTTTTCATTTTTGTACTGCTTTAGATGATAAATTCACTAACGGAGATTGATGATGGTTGGGAAAATGTTTTTTCAAACCTGTACATTGTCTCACAAACTGTGGAACTACTCACTTAGACCCTCTATCTTCAATTTCTACATTAAAATGAGGTTTGACCTCGATTGACCGATGAATTACTATATCGTCCACATCTACAGATTTTTTGAACTGTTTTACCCCTATTCTCTCACTTAAATTAGTTTGTTTTCTATAAAAAAAATGCAAAAACTTTTCATTTGTAAATCTATAAAGTAAAAAATTATAAAACTAAAAAAAAGTTCTCATTAAAAATTTAATTTTTGCAGAATATTATATTTTATGAAAATATATAAAAATATATTTCGAAAAAGAGAAAAAATAAACAAAAATTGTAAAAAATAAATAAAAACTTCCAAAAAATATATAAAATTTGAAAAAAAAATCGAAAACTGAAAATGATTCATTTGGTCGGAACCCCACCTAGCTAGGTGTAATTCTGCCAGTCACACCTGGCTACGTGCGATTTTGGCCAAATCGCACACCCCACATGTGATTCCGACTGATCCACCACGACTAGTGCAATTTGGCTGGAATCACACCAACTAGGTGCAATGTGGCTTGAATTGCAACAACCATTGCGATTCCGACAAAATTGAGTGTGATTCCAACCAAATTGCACCTAGCTTGGTGCCAAACAGTAAGGGTATTATAATCTTTTCATTTTTGTATTGCTATTAGATGATAAAATTCACTAACGTAGATTGATGATGGGTGGGAAAATGTTTTTTCAACGTTTTTGGGTGGAAAAACGTAATTACGATAATGCTTGGGCGGGAAATTGTCATTCACTCGAAAGGGAAACAACAATGATTGCATCAAAGTTCAGTGATGCTAGAAAGAAGCTGCAATCACAAATGGTTGCTAATTGTGCATACATGACGCACCATTAGAAATTTTATAATAAAAATCTTTTTCATGAGTCCAGCTATACCTCACTCTGAATTTTGCAGTGCTGCAATCCTCTTACGCACCTGGTGCTATTTAATTATCTTTTAAATAAATGTTTTGTTAACTTTAATTATCCCACTTTATCATCTTTTTGTATTGCTAGTTGCTACAGTATATTTCACAAGGAACTTAAACCATAGAAATATGAAAATCCATTGTAAAGCACAAGCTAATCCGTAATATCAATTTGAAAATACGTGTCAATACATAGGCCACAGTACATTGGTGGCATTTTTTATTTCATCACGCAAAGTATTAATCCATAATCATCAGAGTTTAATCTTGAAACCGCCCCCAGATTCGTACGATGTATACCCAAGTAATACTTTTGCCCTACTTGAAAACAACACTCTTTACATGTATATATTTTCAACCAACTGTAAATACGATCAACCTTATATCATACTACAATATATTTGATAAGAAATTGAGCCAAAATCCGAAATGCATCATCTTAATTATGTGAAATACAGTATATCCCAAATTAAAAACGGATATATCTTTAAAATTCATTCCAAAACAAATAAGTAAAAATAAGAGATGTTATCGTCAAAGAAGTGCTTAGAAATGTTACTTTTTTTTTTTTTTTTGTCTACTGGTGCTGCAACTCATGGTTTCAAATTTTGCATATTCAAATTAACAAGTGTTAATCATATTGGCCTTGTATAAGCTAAATATGTTGGATCAAAATTTGAAACTACTTGGATAAGAGAGTATATGTAAAGCACAAGAGAACCCGTAGCCTATTAAATTTAAGATACATTTCAATAAACATAAACATCACACCGATTTCAATGAAGAAAAAATATAGAAAAAACCATAACATTATTTCAGTTTAATTATCATGGTTTTGAACATCACATGCCCAAGGACACAACAAACAAAGCATAAATTTGTAGAAGTACTGCAGGCACTTGTTTTTGGAATCCACAACTACACAAGAACAATACATATGTTGTTGACTCTGTCTTCAAATTCAGGATTTCTTCACGCAAACATCCGTCTGATTAACATTACAGCAAAGCAATCTAAAAATCATTTATCCAGATCGATCATAACAATTGTGGAAACAATGAAGTAGAGTGGTTTCCTGGAGAGAATTACGGATAAAGTATGGTGATAGAGAGCTTGTTGGACAAATATGGCCAAGCTGAAACTGCAAGTAGAGTTTAGCTTGACTGGGGCTATTAGACAAACGGTGACGTTTTTAGAAAGCTTAAAGTGTCGTTGTTTTTGTGTTGTAATAATCAGCTATTAAAGCTGACTTTTGTAACACTGTTCCTTAATTGAAATATCAAGAAAGTTTCTAATTCTTATTTCCTCTCTATTTTTGCTCTAAAATCCCTAACCTTCGCACGGTATAGAGTCTAGGTTCAATTGAGCTGAGCGCTTGACCAACATGTGAGAAGTTAGAGTTAGTAATTACCTCTATCAATAGGCATGACCCAACATATGAGTTTAACTGTGAGGTGGAGTGTTAGAATCCCACATCGACTAGGCATGCTCAAGTCTATTGGGTTATAAGAAGAGATAATCCTCTAATTCAATAAGACCTTATTAGATGAAGAGTCAAATCCATCTTAAATTCTATTAGAGTTTAATATTACTACTAGATCTTTTCCTATTTGAAAGAGTGTATTGCAATTATAAGCCACTTCTTTTCGGAAAGTACATAAATTTTCATAGTTACTAATACTTCAGCTTTAATTTCTGAAATAATTGCACGCAATAATGATGCAGGACTAAGGTAGGTCTAATTGTAACTTCCTATATACTAATAGGCTAGCAATTAATCTAGGCACGATAAAAGAAATTGAATCATAAAAATAAAATTGAATTACTTGTTTTGCCACATCAGCGATGTTCTTGAGTACAACCCCTGTGTAGAAAGTGTTTAATTAATATGATAAAAGTAAACATATTTGATATGAATTAAAGGCTTTTAGAACTGACAGAAAGAAGACTTTACACACCTACCTCCACTACAGAGTGTAGAAGAGCTAATATGAAATCAACTGTAGAAATTAGTAAATGGACACACAATTTTATTGTTGTAATTATTTATGATAAATTCTATTAATTGTTATCCCTGCATTTCAGTAAATAGAAACATCACACCAATTTCAATGAAGAAACAAGAAAGAAAAATCATAATATCATTTTCGTTTAATTTCAATTAACTTTAATCGAGAATTTTTAAATGATTAAAATATCTATGTGTGAGTGATATTATTTATTTTAAAATTTATAATAAAAATAAAACAATATATATCACTAAAATTTTCAAGCAAATTAGAATATATATATATATATATATATACACACACAATTAGACAAATTAAAAAGTAAAGCACTATATAATTAAAAAAATGACCATGGTTTCATCACATATTAACCACCAAGTTGGCCACAATGACCAAACTTTGGGAGGTGAGGTGGCAGTGAAGATTACAGAAGTATTGGACAAAAACAACTCTAAAGAAAAGAAAAGAAAAGAAAAAAACAAAAAATCTCCTTAGCAATGGATTTCAAGCAATATTTTAAGTTTATAGTGATTTTGTGATAGGGATGTAATGATGTATACAATAATTAATTGCCCAGATGTATGCAAAAATAATTTCAATTACTCAAAATACATAACACTTTTATATCTTTAAAATTAAATATGATAATGAACTAAAATAAGAAATTTTAAAATCAAAGAAAATAGTTAAAAAAAAAAATGTTAGGTTATTAAATTTATAAATGAGATCAAAGTTAAGAAATATTGTTAGATTGAATTTTGTTTAAATTTGAATTAAAGTATCAAATCTTAAAGTTTCTTATATGTTAGAGGAGAAAAGAAATGAGGGAGTTGGAGACTTTTGAGTCGAAATGGGCTGAAGTGCTAGTGGACGCGGCCATAAAGTTAAAATGGGTTTGGGGTTTACTAGCGTTATAGCTGTTCGGTGACACCTGCCCGAGCTACTGTCATGATGTTGAAGGCTGCTAATCACTAGAATTCTTTTCATATATTTTTTTCTCCCAAAGAAATAGAACTAACAAACCAAAGTCCGAGATTGTTAATCTAAATTCGAATTAATTTACATATATCTTTAAAATTCATGAGTTAAAAAAAAAAAAAAAAAAAAAATGGATGTTGCAAACAAAGAAGGGTGTGGAATACTAATTTTTTTTTTTTTTTGCCTACTATTGCTAGTTGCTGTAACTCATGTCATGGCTTTCTGGTATTGCATATTGAGATTAAAAAGTGTAAATCTTATTGGTCTTGTGTGAGCAAAATATGTTGGATAAAAATCTGAAATTGGACATGAAAAGGTTTATGTAGCATATTAAATCTCACACTAGTCAAAAATGAAAATTCATAACATCAATGTGACAATCTTACCATCTCATCTAGATAATGTGGTGAGACAATCCAATGAAATAATGAGATATGTTTTCACATATACGCCAAATTTTCTTTTTCATCTAACTATTAACATGATTGTTCAATTACTATCCTGTATGATTCATCAATAAGTGATTAAGAAAACTAACTTTATATATCATCATATTATTGGATGGTCTCACCATAACAACTAGGTGAGGTGATAAGATTGTCCTCTGCAAGTATTTCTTCTATTTTAAAATCCAAGGTGAACTTTTTTCAAACCAAGACCGGGCATAATTATTCAGAAGGACTTCAAGCAGTATTTGAGTTCAAAGTGAACATTTTTCATACCTAAAACAAAATAACAAAGCATAAATATCTAGATGAACCACATTAACTGTTTTGGAGTCCACAGCTACACAAGAACAACAAATAGAGTGTCAGATCAGTCCTCAAAGTAAGAATTTCTTCACTTACGTACCCGGAATTTCTTCACTTACGTACCCATCTGATAGACATTTCAGCAAAGCAAATCTGAGAATCAGTTATACAAATCAAAAAATTTGTTGAAACAATGAAACAGAGAGGTTTCCACATGAGAATTACAAATCAAGTATAAGTGTTAGAGAACGTAATATTACTGCTAATCCTTTATCATTTGAAAGAGCTTATTGCAAGTTTAAGCAATCATGTGAATAACACTTCTTTTCAAAAAGAAAGTACAGTAATTATCAATAGTTACTAAAAGTTGTGCTTCAATTTCTGAAACTAATTGCAGGCAGTAATGATGCAGGACTAAGGTAGGTTTCAGTGTAAACAAGACAATGATTAGCAGCTTTATCAATCCACCAATGGAATCTCAGCCTTAATTTCTGCCACTTCAGTCTACATATTTTTTGCCTTGTTTGAGCTATATGTAGTAACATAATCAACCAGATTGAACTCCTGCATCAATAAATTGAAGTGCCGCTTTTTGGACGTACAGTGCTACTTTTATTTTCTCTCTGCGAAGCTTTGCGTCAATACTGCTACGTCAATTGCCAGAATCATCAAAACTGAATGTCAGGTAGTTCTATGTGCAACAAATCTTCAAGCGTAATTGTGTTAGTTTGGTATTTGTCGGTTACAATTATTTCACTTGATAAAATTACAGTTGATCAATTACAATATAGCATGTAGCAAATTATGAGAAAAAGTTGTGAGAGGGTGTTGTTGGTCTGGTATTTTTGTTATTGAAAACTTGGGAAAAGTTTGAGTGGACAGAAGTTAGCAAACAGGGTTCTTTGTTAAAAATAAGATTAATACTATACCAACAACCTTTTTTTACAAACTTTCTCTCGTAACCCTGGCATGACAATTTACAATTGATCAGCTTGCAATTAATTAGTGGGACCTATGTGAGGGCTATTATAAATTGACCAATTGCGAATTTTCACGTCAAGGTTGTGGGAGAAAGTTTATAAGAGAAGGTTATTAGTGTAGTATTATTCTAAAAATAAATGCTTTTCTACTAGTAAATTTCTAGATATTAATTTTGGATTAAAGATTTTTGTGTTTGAAACAATCTATAAGAAACTACTAATGTTAAATGTTGAAGCATCAATCTCCTTGATTTAACACTATAAATATATGATGTAATCCTACTTTTTGAGCAACGATAAAAAATTTCAGATTTGACTTGCGTGTTCCACTTTAGTCATTTTGATGAGTAAATTCGAAATTGTTTCGAAAGTACGGAGGATACGTACCTTTCCTCAAACTTTGTTGCTTCATATGTATAACCTGGCCCATGTAATGTCACTTCTATGAAATGTGGAAAATTGTAGGAACAAGACTGTGCTGCTAATCCTGAGACGGGTGCTGTCTGATGCATAGAGGAATAAGAAACTTTTGAACTCGAATTCTCCCATTCCAGCTTATCCCACCACTCTTTATCTCCCACTATCAAAATTCTGCTGTTATTCTCTTTGACAACGTCAAGTGGGAGTTTTGTTAGACTCGGGCATCTAACTACCCATATCCTCTCCAGGGAAGGGAAGTGCATGACACGAGATATGCTCTTCAGAACTGGTAGATCACGAAAATTCAATTGCTCCAGATTTTTAAACATGTTGGAGTCTTCTAATGGAGAGCTGAATTCATTGGCAATTATTTCTACCAATAAGGGACAATTTTCAGCAAAAACATATCTAAGCCGTGTAGCATATCTGAGGCATGTCAAATCTTTTATCAAACAATTACTGATATAGAGATCACGAAGGTTGTCGAAACGGCCAGAACTTAGAACTGAAGAGGATGTGTTGGGCGATTGCAATTCCTCGCCCTGCTCACACTGGATTACTAACTTTTTAACACGACTTTGTAACTTGGGGGATGATTTAAATTTAAATACAGCATCGACTGTATACAAGATGACATTAATTTCTTCTATTTCTTCCAAGCACTCCAACTCTCTTAACAAGGTTGTATTCCAAAAGGGCTGAAAAGGCAGATTGCTATTTATAGTTGGTCCTCTGCTGAATACTTGTAGCGATGAAAGACTTGATATCAATCCTTCTGAAATAGCTTTGAGTTTCCATGTACCATCTAACAGTAGAAACCTCAATTTTGTCAAACTGTTAGCCGCAATAGGCAACTCCTCTATGTCTGTATCTGACAAATTAAGATACTGTAAATTTATCATTTCAAGCATGGTAGGCAACCGAGTTAAGAAAATATTTTTTGACAAGTCCAAAACTTTCATGGCGTGCATAGATTGAAAGCATGAACTAGGAAATGTCTCAACTGCAGTCTGTCTAACCAAAAAAGTTAGCAGACGCGGACAAAATGGTGTTTCTCTGAAAAGTTTAACACTTCCACCCCATAGTGATATTCTTACTGCCTCCTTCCAAGTAGCAATGCCGTGTTTTTTAATGGATTCTTGATTTTGAAAAACAAAAATCTTGTTCTCCTTTACCGAAGCTAACCACAGAGCCATATCACGAAGCACATCGTGCATCTTAACATAATCATCAGAATCTCCAACCATCTCCAACAGACATGCATGTTTCAAACTTCTGATAATAAACTCTCCTGCATCTCTTGTATCATTTAAACCACAATTATGCAAAATTCCCTCCGCAATCCAGAGGTCAATTAGTTCATCTTTGTTAATCATATGATCCTCTGGAAACAAGGAACAATAAAGAAAACAATTTTTGTGTTTATCATCCCTCAAGCTATCATAACTAAACCTCAAAACTTGAAAGACACTACTTTCCATATCTGCAAACTCAGACGGATGACTCTGCAATGTGTTGATAGCATACCGCCATTCCTCTGGTGTTCTCCTATTGGACATGGCCCTCCCAATAGTGATCAAAGCAAGCGGCAAACCTTTGCACTCTTTAGCAACCGTTTCAGCAAACTCTGTAATTTGATGATGCGAGTTCAAAACATCCTCCGTCACACATTGTCGAAACAATTCAAAGGATTCTTCAAATGACAAACACTTCACTTCGAATTTCTTGACAGCAGCGTCCATGTTATGGCACACATCCTCTGAACGGGTTGTGAATACTATTTTTGACCCATTTTGATGGTAGGAAACATCAGGAACTCCCATGTTTAGCAGGTCTATTCTCTCCCACAGATCGTCTAGCAATAGCACAAACTTTTTTCCACTGAAGCTTCTGCAGATTTCGGTAGCTCTACTATGCTCGTCTGTCTTTTTTTTCCATGTTTCATCTGGAATCTGTAATTTATGCCGTATAACTTCTTGAATTCCAACCAAGTTCACTTCTTTAGACACCGTAACCCAAATCATCAGATCAAAATCACGTCTGTTGTCAATAAATTTATTGTTAAGTTTCTTTAAAAGGGTGGTCTTGCCAACACCCCCTATCCCGTATAATCCGATCGTTCTCACTTTATGGTCGTCAATACATCTCCAAACTTCATCTAGTATGGAGTCCATGCCCACAGTCTTGTCCATAGGTATCTCATCCACGGGAGGTGGCGATAGTTTTTCAGAAACATCATCGAAAGATTTGAATTCCTTCCCTTTGTTTATTAAATCCTTCACAGCTTTAGTCCCCCTAATTACTTCTTTACCAAGCTTGTAGCTAGAGTAACAATTCCTGGGACAGCAAGTTCCTAAACATTTCTTTTGGATCTCTTGCTCTCCTCTCTGCAACATATTATCCACTTTCTCTAATTTGAGTCGTACACGTTCCAGCCAGCCTTCAACTTGGTTGGTACGCTTACGATATTGCTGCTCTGCAAGCTCGACCCTGCTCTTGACATCTTTGCTGATGTCCTCGAGTTCATCCCTTGTCTGTCTTAATGAAGTCAAGTTCTCTTGGAGATGACGGATGATAGCAATGCAATTGGAAGTGCAATTACACAGTGTTGGGAGAATGTCCATGATTGGACCCAAGAAATCCATGATCACCTAAACAAAGAGTTTAGAACAATTAGTGAAACCCAATAGAAGCAACCACAAACAACACCAATTTGGCCACAATGACCAAACTTTGGGAGTTTTGAGGTAGAAGAGGGTGGGAGAAAAAAGAGACTTGTGTGTTGAGATTAGACAAGGATTTCAGCTATAAAAATAGTTTGTTTTGGTTCATACACTCTTCTCCTAGAGCGCCAATCGGCAGCCAGTGGAGCAGACAGCTTTAGGGTTTAGACTTTGAACAATGTAATTTGTCTTCATTCTTTATTTCTACCCAGATTATGACTAAACTATTTTTGTTTTTCATATAATTAAAATTTAGAACAATAATTTTTTTGCAACAGGGAAAAGTCAGTAATTACACTCAATAATTGTTTAATTATTAATAATAATTTAATAGCAAAGAGTGTACAATAAATTATTGATGAGAGTATCCAACTAATATCAAGGCTTGGACTTTGGATCCACTTGTTGTATCAATATATCATTGATGCGAGTATCTAACTACTTATGTCAAGGTTTGGATCCACTTGCTGTATCAAGAGTTGACGTATCCAGACATTGATATAAATAGTTGGATACTCACATCAATAATTTACTATACAATCTTTGCTAGGGGTGTGCAAAAGAATCGGTTGGAACCGAAACTGATGGGTACTTGGGGTTCCGGTCCTGTTCCTATCTAGAACTAACCCTCATAGGGTAGGTTTTGGTTATAGAAATCAAGAACCGGTCAGTCTTGATTCCAGTTCAAATTCAGGTCTTGTAGGAATCGAGAATCGGAATTGAAACCGAGATCGGGGTATCCGGGTAGGAATCAAGACTAAATTATAATTTTTGTAAATTATTGGGGGTGTATTTGTAAATTTTAAAGGGTTTATTTGTTATTTTTTAAAAGTAAGGGGGTAATTAAAATTAATCTGGGTACCCAAAATCGGAATTGGAACCTATGTTTCAGGTTCTAGTTCATGGCTTCTAAGAATCGAGAATCGGCTGATTCCAGTTCCTTTGAATTTGGGTGAGCACCAAGATCCACCCACCCCTACTCTTTGCTGTCAGATATTAATTATAAAATAACATTTCTTTTATTATTATTAAAAGAATTTTAAAGGATGAAATCGATACGTTTAGGTATAAAATTTAAAAATGATTCCACATTGTTACGCCTAAAAATATAAGGGTTGACATCAGGATCCTTTAGCCCGCATGTCAGATCATTGAAACAGCCACCGTCTGCGTCTGTCAGGATAGTGGGTGCGCGTCAGGCTACTCAGGAGGCTGTGGTGCTCTCATGTGTCCAATCCCTGCTCTAAATCGCGCAAATCACTCTGGAAGGTGGGCAATGTGACATAAATGGGGATTTGCACGGATAATCTCACCAACTTGCAGGTTTAGTAATCATTGCCTCAAGACATCTGACTATAAATTAGGAATTCAACTCTCATTAAGGGGATTCGCATATTTTTCACTTGATTAATTACTCTCTCTTTTCTTAGCAATTGAGACCTTGTAATATCATTATAAAGTCAGTCAGCTAATAGCGACCTGACCCCTATCATCAGTACAAGCATCAGTGGACGTAAGACTTGCTACCTTAGCATCCGAACCACTTTAAAAACTGTCTCCATTGCATTTACTATCTTCTACTCATTACTTTCACGTGTGATTTCGGGGCCCCCCACAACATTTCACACGTGCATTTTGTTGGTGCAAAATCCCGCATCAACAGTTTGGCGCTAGAAGGAGGCCTGATTTAGTGTTCATCCTTCATCAAGAGAGTCTCCAACCTACCGGTTCTACAGCAACGAATGGCCTGCCAACCAGAACATGAGCAAACCAACCAGGGCACTCAGGGTTCCCCCCAAGCTCAGGGGGATACCTTTTCCAAAGAACCTTCAACCCCGCAGAATGCTGTGGGAGATATCCCGTCAAGCTGACAGCTTGACCCCGCTATAAGAAGCTACCTAGAGAGGTTTGACAATACTCTCCAGACGGTCAACCAAAGGTTGGACCGTTTGGACCAAGGCGCGCCATCCAAGTCAGCTGCGGTGGTACAACCGCTAAAAACACCTGCAGGTCGCGCGAAAGCGCAGCAGAGGGAAATAGCCCATGCCGCGAGCACTGCAACACGAAGGTGAACGGGTAAGCAAGTGGCAAAAAGCAAGCCCACGGGCTCCAAAGGGCCAGCAAACACCGACCGCGTCCCAAGCAGAATACCAGTCTCGCTGAGACTCGCTGAAAAGACGCAGCCTGAGCTGTCCCACGCCACGTCGCAGGTACATACCCATAAAAGTGCTGGACGGGTCGATTCTTATCACCGTCAGCAAGCCAATCCTGGTCACCATCGTATGAGAGGGTCCCACACTTCGCGGGGCGGTCCTTACCACCGCGAAGGTCATGAGAATACCTCACACCTCTCATCGCCATCGCACGCCTCTAGTCAACATGTGTCAAGAGTGGTTGGAACCGCCAATCGAGGCGAAGAAGAGCCAGACCTTCAGACATTCCTCAATCGTAACCACGAGAATCGAACTCGCGTGGGTGAAAGCAACCCCAAGCGGCTCCGTTGCAGCAAATTGAAGAGCTGCAGCGAGCTCTAGACAGGCTAAGGGCCCAGCAAAATGAGCAGGGACAAATCGCATCTGCATCCCCCTTCTATCCCGAGGTGTTAGCTGCTCCACTCCTGCCAGGATTCAGGATGCCCGACATGTGGGCTTTTAATGGAAACTCCGATCCGCAGGATCATTTGTATGAATTTAACGACCTGATGGAGCTCCACCAGGTCTCAGACTTGGCAAAATGCCGCTGTCTAGCAGTAACATTGACCTCCCATGCCAAACGATGGTTCAGGTCGCTCCCAGTAGGGTTGGTCAGTTCGTGGCCTCAGATGAGCACGACGTTCCTAAGGCATTTTCAAGCGAATCGGAAGTTTTCAATGCCTTTGAGCTACCTTAACAACATAAGGCAAGAAATGGATGAATCCCTCCAGTCATAGATTGACCGGTTCCACAGGGAACTCAATAAGGTGGCTCACACTCCCGAAGAGTCTGTTCGGACTCTCATTATAGCCGGGATTCGCCTGCAAACTAACCTGTGGAAGGAATTACAAGCTGAGGACGATGTCTCCCTCATAGGATTCTACAATCTTGTGGAGAAATACCTCCGAATAGAAAATTCGTTGGCGGCCCTACGCTGTCGTGACCCCGACGCATCGAGCAATATGTCTGGTCGGGGGGAAAGTAGAAGAACTGATCGCAGAGGGGACACTGACGATCAGCGAAAAAGGAAGAAACCCCGCTACGAGCACAAGAAATCCTATGCTCCTGTTCCTCGTCGCGACCGCAACAGGGTTCAATATACCCCACTGAATGTGTCTGTATCGGCCATTCTTGATAAATCCGAGGAGGCCAGTCTGCTCGGTGAGCCAGAACCCATGAAAACTCCCACGACAGTCAGAAATAATAAAAAATACTATCGCTTCCATCGGGACGACGGGCATCATACAGATGAATGCCGAGCTCTAAAGCAAGCAATTGAAGAGCTCATTAAGAAAGGGCACTTCAAGGAGTATATTGACGACACCATTCCTACAAAGGGGAAGAACCAAGAGGAGCAAGGAAGAAAGCGTCGTGATCACAGTGGGTATAGCAGCGTTAACATAATCTTTGGAGGACCACACCTTGTAGGAAACACGCGAGGCGCGTAGGAAAGGTATGCTCGCGAAGCCCATCACGACCCGATCAGGGTGATGAGCACATTGTAGCGACCACAAAAGGCTTGAAAGGAGGAGCCGATTGCCTTTTATGAGAAGGAGGCAACTCGTTTACATCATCCTCACGACGATGCTCTTGTGATCATGGCCCTGATAGGGTGCCATAATATCTGCAGAATGCTCGTGAACAACGGAAGCGTTGTGAACATCCTGTTCTAGACCGCTTTCGAAAGAATGAACTTGGACAATGCCGACCTAAAGCCCACTTTGATCCCTCCTTATAGCTTTACAAGGGACCACCTGATCCCCAAAGGAATGATCTAGCTCCCAGTCACGCTCGGCGACTACGACGAGGTGACTAGGGTTACTGAATTCTTGGTTGTGGATTGCCCATCGACCTTCAATGGAATCTTGGGGCGACCTCTGTTAAGAAGCTTCAAGGCAGTCACTTCCATATACCATCTCAAGATGAAGTTCCCAACTCTAACGGGGATAGGGGAAATGAGCGGATCACAGAGCGCATCTCGCGACTGCTACATAAAATTAGTACAGATGGCGTGTAAAGGAAATGGCATTTCACGATGTGCGCCTTGCCAGGCTATGATGATCAGCCGAATCGAGCCACAGCCTTGCCCAGTAGAGGATAATATAGACCCTCGAATCCAGGAAATCCCTCCCAGCGGCCTGGTTGAGGATCTGTCCGAGGTTTCGGTTGATCCAAAAGAGCCGAGCCGAGTGTTAAGAATTGGAAGCTGTCTCAACCCCCAGGTCGCGTCCGAACTGATAAGCTTCCTGGTTGAAAATATCGATGTGTTTGCCTGGTCGCATGTAGATATGGTCGGGATCAGCCCGGACATCATTTGCCATGCGTTAAACATCGACAGTGAAGCCAAGCCAGTTCGCTAGAAAAGAAGAGCAATGGATCCGGAGCGGTATGTCGCTTTGAAATTAGAAGCGGACAACCTTCTCTGGAATAGGTCCATCCGAGAGGCACTCTATCCGACCTGGGTTGCCAACCCAGTTTTGGTAAAGAAGCCAAATGGCAAGTGGCGAACCTGCGTCGACTTCACCGACCTCAATAAAGCTTGCCCTAAAGACAGCTTCCCGTTGCCAAGAATTGACTAGCTCGAGGATGCCACCTCGGGGCACGAGCTGCTTAGTTTTATAGATGCATACTCAGGATACAATCAAATTCTGATGTATGGGCCAGACGAGGAGCATACATCTTTCATTACAAACCGAGGGCTGTATTATTACAAAGTTATGCCTTTCGGCCTCAAGAACACTGGCGCGACTTACCGGCGATTGGTTAACCGAATGTTCTCCGACCAGATTGGAAGAACAATGGAGGTCTACGTGGACGACATGCTAGTCAAATCCCAGGTTGCCTCAGAGCACATTGTGCATCTCGCTGAGATGTTTGACATTCTCCGGCTGTATGGGATGAAATTGAATCCCTTCAAGTTTCATTCGGAGTGTCATCAAGAAAGTTCCTGGGGTACATGGTTAACCAGCGGGGGATATAAATAAACCCCGAGAAGATTCAAGCTCTACTCGACATGGAGAGCCCGGCCAACAAAAAGCAGGTCATGTGTCTTAACGGGCGAATAGCGGCACTTAGTCGCTTCATATCAAGATTAACAGATCGCTGCTTGCCATTCTTCAATGTCCTAAAAGCTAACAAAAAGTTCGAGTGGACACCTGAGTGCGAACAAGTGTTCCAAAGCATAAAAAAACACCTTGGAAAACCACCTCTCATGTCCAAGCCTTTTCCACAAGAAATCTTACTTCTGTACCTGTCCGTTTCTCAGTTCACAGCCAGTGCAGCTTTGATTCGGGAAGAGAAAAATGCGTAGTGGCCAGTGTACTATGCAAGCAAGCGCCTGACAGACATCGAAATACGGTATCCAGAAATGGAGCGATTAGCCTATGCCCTGCTGATCGTCTCCAGAAAGCTACGACCTTACTTCCACGCCCATACTATCCATGTGATGACTAATTACCCACTCAGGCAAGTCCTTCAAAAGCCAGAAGCATCGGGTAAACTACTTAAATGGGCCATGGAGCCATGGAATTAAGTCAGTTCGATCTTAAGTATAAGCCGAGATCGACCATAAAAGGGCAGGCAGTTGCTGACTTCATCTCAGAATTTTCCTATCTTCCGAGCGAGCAACAGCCTGGCGAAACCATTCAGGAAGATGTTCAGAACCTGTCGACTTGGAGCCTCTACGTCGACGGGTCATCGAACAGAAAAAGGGCCGGTACTGATCTCCTTCTTTTAAGCCCCGAAGGGGCTCGTATTCATGACATTCTTCGGTTCGAATTTAAAGCGACCAACAACGAGGCTGAGTACGAAGCTTTGCTCGCTGGATTATGGTTGGCCAAAGAAATGGGCGCAACCGCGATCAGTGTGTATAGCGATTCTACACTGGTCGTCAACCAAATTTTGGGGGAATATCAAGCCAAGGAAGAGAACATGGTCCGTTATCTGAAAGAAGCCGAGGCCGCACTCGAGCCGTTCAAACATTTTGAGATCACTCAGATTCCCAGAGACAACAACTCTGTGGCGGACGCCCTGGCAAGGATAGCCTCGTTGTTGGACTCAGAGGCACCAGATAGCATTCCTGTTTGACTCGTCGAAACTCCAAGTATCAGCTCAATCGAACAGGCCGTGAATGTGAGTCATTCTGATTCCTGGATGACTCCCATTTTTCTGTACCTCAAGAATGGAATCTTGCCGAACGACAAGGTCGAGGCAAGGGTCCTACGAACAAGATCTGCTCGCCATACCATCATCGGGGACCAGTTGTATAGAAGAGGATTTAGTGCCCCTCTCATTCGATGTGTAACCAGCGAAGAAACGGACTATATTATGAGGGATATTCATGAAGTGATCTGCAGTAATCACATCGCCGCACGATCTCTTGCAAACAAGGTTGTTCGTCAAGGGTACTATTGGCCCCGAATTCAAGACGACGCTTACGACTTTGTCAAGAAATGTGATAAGTGTTAGCGGTTCGCAAGCATACCGCGAGCTCCCTCCCATGAACTGATAACTATGACTAGCCCTTGACCTTTTTCCATGTGGGGGATTAATCTCATTGGCCCCTTGCCAGTTGGAAAAAAGGGAGTCAAATATGCCATGGTTGCGGTAGATTACTTCACTAAATGGGTAGAAGCCGAACCGCTAGCCGTGATCACGACCAGAAAGCTGAAGGACTTCGTTTTTAGGAATATTGTGTGCCGTTTTGGAATTCCTCATACCCTTATTTCAGATAATGGAAAACAGTTCAACAATGAGGAATTTAAACAGTTTTGTGATGAGCTGGGCATCCATAAGAAATTTGCCTCTGTCGCAAGACCGCAGGCAAATGGCCAAGTTGAAGCTGTCAATAAAAACATCAAGCACACTTTGAAGGCAAAGCTTGGTGCAGCTAAGGGGAATTGGGCCGACGATCTCCTCGAAGTCCTATGGGCATACCGAACAACTCCAAGGACTTCCACCTCGGAGACACCATTTTCGCTGGCATACGGGTGCGAAGCAATGATCCCCGTCAAGGTAGGAACTGGTTCGCTTCGAAGAGACTTGTACAATAAGGCCGATAACGAAGCACTCATAAGGGCAAGCCTTGACCTTATTGAAGAACGTCGCAGCAAGGCTTCGCTAAGGATAGCAGCCTATCAGCAACGCATGAAAAAGTTATTCGATGAAAAG